TTCTCCATAAAAGTCTCTTTTTGAGCTCCTGTTGGAGCACTCTCAACTACTTCCTGTCTAGGGCCACTTCATTCAAATCCATTTTTGCTCAAATAAACTCTTAAAGTTTAAGAAATTTTTTTTCTTAATGTGTATTCTTTTTTTGAGAGAAACAGAGAGACAGAGAGCGTGAGCAGGGGAGGGGCAGAGAGAGAGGGAGACACAGAATCTGAAGCAGGCTCCAGGCTCTGAGCTGTCAGCACAGAGCCTGATTTGGGGCTCAAACCCATAGACTGCGAGACCATGATCTGAGCTGAAGTTGGACGCTTAACTGAGCCACTCGGGTGCCCCTACACCCTTAAAGTTTTTAAACATGCCTCAGTTTCTTTTTTAACACTACAAACACATGCATTGGGTTCACTTCCCTCTTGCCTTCTCATAGCTTCCCCCACTTAAAAAAAAAGTTTGCTTATTTTTGAAAGAGAGAGAGTGGAAGGGGCCAGAGAGAGAAAAAGAGGATCCGAGGTGGGCTCTGGGCTGACAGGAGAGAGCCCAATGTGGGGCTTCTAGTCACAAACTGGGAGATCATGACCTGAGCTGAAGTTGGATGCTTAACTGACTAAGTCACCCAGGAGTCCCCCACCCCCGCTTACTTTTTAAGTTTATTTATTTTGGGAGAGCGAGAGTGAACACAAGTGGGGGAGAGAGAGTGGAGGAAAGAGAATCCTAAGCAGTCTCCCCGATGTCAGCATGCAGCCCAATGTTTGGCTTGATCTCATGACCCTGAGATCATGACCTGAACCAAAGTCAAGAGTCAGATGGTTAACCATCTGAGTCACCCAGGTGCCCCCCTCTCTTTTTTAACCACCCTCTGTTTTTTCAGCTTTTCCTCTCCCCTATTGTCCCAGTCTTACGAGTATATTAATCATAATCTTGTCTCTTCTCCTTTGAAAATCAAAATGAAGTGGGGCACCTGAGTGGCTCAGTCGGTTAAGTATCTAACTTTGGCTCAGGTCATGATCTCGCGATCTGTGAGTTCCAGCCCCACATTCGGCTCTGTGCTGTCAGCTCCAGAGCCTGGAGGTTGCTTGGGATTCTGTGTCTCCCTCTCTCTCTGCCCCTCCAACACTCATGCTCTGTCTCTCTCTGTCTCAAAAATGAATAAACTTTAAAAAAGAAAAGAAAAGAAAAATGAACAAAAAGAAACAGAATCCAAACACTCTGTTGAGCTTTCTAATCTCCTAAAGATTTGCTTACATATCTGAATCTGGCTGTGGCCCCTACCACACCATCACATCTGCTTTCCTAAGGTCACTGTACTAGGTTGAATGGTAACCCCCCAAAAGATATCTGAGTCCTAACCCCTGAAACCTGTGAGTGTGAACCTGTTTGGAAAAAGATGTAACTAAATTAAGGATCTGGAAATGAGGATTTCATCCCGGATTTAGGGTGGGCCCCAAGTCCAATAACAAATGCCCTTACGAGAGAAAGGCAGGGGGAGATTTGAGACATAGGAGAGACATAGGGGATAAGGCCGTGTGAAAATGCAGGTGAAAGGAGAGTGCTGTGTTTATAAGCCAAGGAATGCCACAGGCGACTAGCAGTCAACAGAATCCGGAAAAAGCCTGGAAGGATGCTCCTCTAGAGCTTTCAAAGGAAAGGCAGCTTTGCCTGATTTGGGACTTCGGGTCTCCAGAACTCTGAGAACAAATTTATGCTGCTTTAAGTCACCACGTAGTGTTAATTTGTTACAGCGGCCCCAGAAAACGATGACCAATGACCTCCGTGTTGGAGAATTCCAAACACCATACCGTCTCCACCTTCCATTTTGCAGCAATATTTGACTCAGCTGACTGTTCCTGCATGGAGCATCTTATAGTCCTGGCTTCCAGAGAACCACTTCCTGTTGCGTTCTCTCTTCTCTTTGTGAACGCTTCACCTCAGGGTTCTTTGCCAGTTTTCTGCTTCCGCTTAACCTCTAAATGTGTGCTCTCCGCACTCACACCTTGGCTCTAAATATCTTCCACAGGGGCCCCTGGGTGGGTCAGTCAGTTAAGCGTCTGACTTTGGCTCAGGTCATGATCTCACGGTTCGTGGATTCAAGCTCCGCTTCGGGCTCTGTGCTGACAGCTCAGAGCCTGGAGCCTGCTTTAAACTCTGTCTCCCTCTCTCTGCCTGTCCCCGATTCATGCTTGCTCTCTCTCTCAAGAAAAAAGTAAACATTAAAAAAATAAAAGAATTTAAAAAAATATCCTCCATATACTGAGGGTTCCCAAACTGGTGCCTCCAAGGTCGAGCTGCTGATGGCTTCAGTCATGCATACACCACACCTCTGTGACACAGCAGCCTCGTGTTCCGGCGACGCCATTTGGGAGCCAACACACATGCACAAAGCAGGACTTCTGAGCCTCACCAAACACTCCTCCTGCCTGCCAATGAGACTCCTTTCATTTCCACATCCGAAGAAATGGCAGCTCTCTCCACCCAACGTGATTGCTCTACCTGGGAATCATCTTTCCCTACCCTCAGATCCAATTCCTAAGCAAATCTCGTCAATTTAACATGTAAGATATATCTCAATTCCATTCACTTCTCCTTACCTCTACTGTCATCATCCTGAGACCACACCGATGTTACATCTTACCTGGTCTCTTGAAATAGCTTCCGAGTGATTCTCCACACAGCAGTCAGTACTCCTAGCGGATTATGCTGTGCTGCTACTTAAAGCCCTTCAAAGGATTCCCACTGAACTGAGCATGAAATGCAAACTCTGTGTGACCTTGCCCTTGCTTTCTGTCCATCTTTCTCCTTCTGCTCCATCCACAATGATCTTCCTTAGGTTCTAAGAACTTAACAAGCTTTTCCTGACCTTGGACCATCTCTGCCTGGGATTCTGTCCCCCACGCTCTGTGCCTTCAGCTCACTTCCTCGGAGGGGACTCCCTTGATAGCCCCCCACCACCCATCTTATGTCGGCTTCTCCTGTCCTTGTCTCCCACAGAACTCAATTCTTTCCATTACGGCATTTGCCACAATCTGTAATTACACATTCGATCGTGTGTTTATTTTTTTACTGTCTTCCCCATTGGGTTGCTTCCAGAAAGCAGCTGGGACTGTCTGTTTCCCTTCGCTGAACACGGAGCGCCTAGCTCAGGGGCAACCACGACAGGATGCTCCGCAAACATCTGTTGAACAAATTCCCTCCCTTCTATCAAATGTGTGTTTTAGCAGACACACTCATCAGGTGGGAGCTCTTTCATCCAAAAGAAAAAAAGAAATAACAAAAAATCTAAATGTTATGAAAACCCGGAGACTTTGTTTTACAAACATATAAATTATTTTATTTACAAAGCCATGTTACAAAAAAAAAAAAAAAGCAAAAAAAAAAATTACAGTCGCTCACTGGAGAATGTCTCCAGGCCTGGTGCTGAACCATGGCAGTATCAATGGATACATGTTTGTTCTTTCCTTTTAAAACTGTAAGCCATAGAATTTACTATTTACACCTACTTTAGACATTTATTCTGCTTACAATATCACAGGCATGGAATGAAGTCTATCTGATAGTGCTAATATGTAAAGGTATGGGACAAAGAAGGAAAATACTTAGTGTTACAAAATATGGATCGTAGAAAAGAAACCCACTCCACAAGTGTGGCATTTGTTTAGAATGTTTGGACATGCTTTCTCCAAAATTCTTCTGGAAAAGGTTCTAAAAATCGGTAGTAGGAAAGGACAAATGAGCAGGTGCAAATTCTTATCTCTGCAACAACAGTTATTGAATATACCCCATGACTCACCAGCTACGTGAAACCCACAGAGTTTTGTTAAAGTGCCATGGGCCAACAGCATAACAAAATAGAAGGTGTAAATAGAAAATTTCTTTTTTTTCCTTTTTGAAAACAAGAGTTCACTGAGAATCAGCAATAATAGAATATGCTGTAGAAACTATTCTCTACAAAGGTTGATCAGCATTATTTACAATTGGTACATTGATACAAAAGAAGGCATACAAGTTATCCAAGTCGTTTTTTTTTTTTTTTTTTTTTTTATGGCTGACAGGTCTATGCATTGTGTTATGCTTAACAACCAGAGCTTTCAAGCCTCTATGGCTGGCGACAAGTCACAAGATCTTCAGGCAAATGGGGGGTGGTTGTTGTTGGTGGTGGTGGTAGTGTGTGTGCAGTCAAGGGGCTGGGAAGGGAGGGTTGGGTGGGATGCGCAGAAGTACCCAAAGGAGATCACCCTAATAATGCTTAATAGGCTGGTCCAGTTGAACTCCATTAAAACAAACCCAAAGAAAACCTTTTATTTGCATTCCACTTTTCAAGCTGTGAGTTTTTTAATACATCATTATAAAGTAAACCTGTGGTTGATTGTGAAGGAAGAAACACCGTGGGTTTTCCCTTTTTTGCTCAGTTTTCCAGCAATGTCCTCACCTTGGTCAGAGCCACAGTCTTTCACCAAGTAAGCAGCATCGGTGGGGAGCCTCTTTATTCCGGGTTGCAATTCCAGATGGAGACAGCTAACATGTCAAAACCTATTGAATTGCTCAGTTAGCAGCCACTTAATCTCTCAACCTTTGTTTTCCCTCTTCGAGTGTAAGAGAGTTTATAACTCAGAGGGTTATTTTGTTGCTGAGATTTGTTTTTGTTTTTTGTTACTCCTGCAAGTTTTTACAACTTAAAATAAATTATTAAAAAAACCAATAGACTTCTTAAAACCGAACAAGACAAAACTTGTGCAAAAATAACAAAGATATGTACATACTTTTCAGTCAGAAGAAATGTACAATAAAAACATAATTCAAAGAACATTTTAAAAATATAAACATTGCTTAAACTTTCCTACGTTTCATATTGTTTCTGAAACTATTCTGGTCAGTTAGCTCTGTAATATAGTAAAACATAAATTATTACAAAATTAACACTATAAAAATTTACTTTAAGAATATTTTCTAAACTTTTTTCCAAAGGGTCTAACCTGTTTATAATTTCTTAAACATTTATAAGTCTTAAAATCTGCCTTAACTTTTTTTTTTTAAAAAAGAAAGAGTAACCATCTTCCCTTCAATTCGCAGTCTCTTTTTCCCAAGACGTAAATAAACCAGCATATAAGTGCACTTTTAACACTGTAGAAATAAAAATGAAATCGTCTGAACTAATGTCCTGGTACCTAATATCAACTCCTGATTTTTAAAAAAATTTCATTTTATATTAAAAATTTTAGGAATCCTATAAGAAACACTGTCAGTGCAATTCCATTGATACAAATCACTCCGTTTGCTTCCCGTCTTCGCAAATTCCAATGTGGTGAAACTTAACAGTAGTCTGATCTTTGGGTTGGGGGGGATGGGAAGGAAAAGGGAAACTTCAGGGTGGGGGTGATGCTGTGCATCCAGCTGTAAATCGGGCGTTCATTTCTGAGTTAGGGATGAAGCCAAACGTCCTAGGATCTTGCTATTATCTCGTATGCAAAGTTTTATGATTAATAGCACAGAATGCCTATGTCATATTGTGAATTCCTTTCCTGATTATGATTCCCTTTTAGAGCTAATCATATTGCTATTTCTTTCAAAACTCCAGTGTGAACGGTTTTAGAGTGGCAGGGCTCTGGCTTCTTTCTTCCCTCTCTTCCAAATGACTCTTCACTAGGTGGTGGCTGGGCTGTATGTGGGTCTGGGCTTGTGATAACCTAGGATAAGCTGAGCTCTGAGTATACTGTTGCACGGGACCCTGGGGCCCGGGGCCTGGGAGGGGGCGGGCAGTCAGTGCTAGTATTTATTCTACCAAGGTGTTTGATATTTAACCCTCCATGGAAGCTTTCCCTCAGACCCTTGCTTTTTCTCCTCTGGCCTAGCCCCGTAGGGCAGCTTAGGAACTTCCCCCCCCACAGTGGGCTCTGGGGTCTCAGGCCCTTTTCACAGGGGGCCCTTTTCACAGAGCAGGGATCCCTTCTGCTCTGGCTCACTCAGCTTTGGGGCCCTTGTGCATGGCACCCTGGGAGGGACTGTGCAGCATGGATTCCTAAAAAGCTCAGATGGTCAGTTGCCCAGTTTCCTCCGTCTTTGGGGAGATATCCTCCCCTACGCATATGCTCTGCTTCCTGTCACCTTCCAGGCCTATTCCAGCCCCTGTTCCTGACCCATGATATCGTCTCTGAGCTGCACAGCTGGACAGTGGTATTGGGTAAATGACACAGTTCAGTGGCCACTTTTCTCCAATTCGCCCATAGCATCTGGCTCCTACGGTGCTGGTGCTGCACAGAAACCTGCTGGGGGCGCTCAGTGCGGGCCGGCCCTCTGCTCTCGGCTCCCCAGACACAGGCTCTTCCCCAGCAAAGCTCCTCCCCCAGCACGCTGTCCAGAGGGGAACTCGTGAGAGTCAGCCCCTTGCCGATGGCCAGTGGGGACCCCCGAGGATGGCAGGTGGGAGGGGATGGAAGGGACGGGTGGGAGAGGTCAAGGGAAGGAGCACTGGCATGTGCTCAAGTTCAAGAGTTTCAGACAAAGCCAACCAGGAACTGACACTCGGCAACATCTGCTCTCCTGGCTGGAGCAAAATGATGGTGCGGTAGCAGCATCGGAAGCTAGAGGGCCGACCCCGAACTTGGAAGAACACGTACACGTGGCAAATGAAGGAACTGAAACCAAACACTGGTATTGTTTTCTGTAAATCTTAAATTCACGTTCTTTTGCCTTTTGCTTTCTCTTAGGAACTAAAAACCGGTCAATTAAAAAAGGAAGAAGAAAGGCCAGAGCCACTGGCACAGCACAGGAAACAGACTCTCCCCGGCTGCCACACCCCTCCCTCCTCCTCCCGCCTCGGGTGGCCAGGCATGGGTTTGGAAGTGGCTTCACAGTCTTGTTAAGGAAGAGTCCTTATCCTGCCCGTTCTGTTGGTGGTCTTCTAGGAAAGAAAAGAAAAGCTTGTGTTAAAACCACACGTGGGATTACCCACAAGATTTCAGAAACAGAGCCTCTGGTTTTTTTCAGCCCTGACCCTTAAAGCTACCGCCTGTGCCACCTCTTGCCTTGGGCAAAAACAGCTAATAAGCAAATGAGGTGCACATGAGGTGGCCACCAAGCTCCTAGCTTGGGGGAAAACACGGGGACAAACCCAGTGGACATACATGTGGTGGGGTGGGGGTGCGGTTCCCCTCCCAGAGAGAGAACTGCAATAATTAACCAGTCTTTGTTTTTGCCTCTATTCATTTACCTCTTCCGACTTAACCTGTACACCACACGGAGAATGATCTAAGGAAGTATACTGTTGGATTAACAGAGGCTTTGGGTTCAAGTTACTTAGCCTCTTTGCTCAGGTACCTGCAATCTGTAACATGAGGATTTTCACTGGTCCTTCATAGGGTTGCTAACAGGTTTACATGTATGTAAAGGGCTCAGCACGGCACCTGCAGACAAAGCGTCAACAAACAGTGGCTATGTGGCTATTATTATATTTGTTAAGGGTGACCGTGTAGCCTCCCTGTGGACCCAGCAAGCTGTGCAGGAGGCTTGTCAAGATCAGAGGCAAGTTGCCAGGGCAAAGACCCCCACCCTCACCTGCCCCGGCACCAAGGATAGGCTTCAAGGTGCTCAGGCAGGAAGTGACTCAAACTGATGGAGACAATTTCCCTGATCTAGGGATACAAAATGATCTTCCTATAATCTTTACCCAAACACCACCTGAAGTGTAGGGAGACTTCAAAGGCCAAAATGCAGACAAACACATTGCAGTTTGTTCTCTGCAAAACCTGTAGCGCGTCGAAGACGACATAACAGCATGGCGCGTTCGTTTTTCTGGTCCAGTGTGACACACAATCCGCCACCCCACCCTCTCCCCCAAGGGTACACACAGTCCCTCGTGGAAAATCATTTGTACACGGACTACTCTCACATCTCGAGTTTGTAAAAACTGCTGAATCTACCCTGGGTGTTCCTACCAGGAAACCACATCTTGAACAGATTAGCTACAACTCACCAGCGGCCTTGAGAGAGGACTGACTGATCTATGTCCCGAGCAAGGCCCTGTGGTCAAAGCCATTAATTTTCACAACGCTAGGAGGTAGGCATCACCTTTCTATTTAACGGATGGAAACACTGAGGCCCAGAGAAGTGGATCCACCTAATATCACACAGCTGCTAATAATAATCGGGGCTCCGGGTGCCTGGGTGGCTCAGTTAAGCATCCGACTTCGGCTCAGGTCATGATCTCACAGTTTGTGGGTTCGAGCCCAACGTCAGGCTCTGTGCTGACAGCTTAGAGCCTGGAGCCTGCTTCGGATTTGGTGTCTCCCTCTCTCTGCTCCTCCCCAGCTCTGTCTTTCTCATTCTCTCTCTCTCAAAAATAGATAAACATTTTAAAAATTAAAAAAAAATACACCCCACCTAGAATGAACTATAAAAAAAAAAATCGGGACTCATACTTGTGTGTTTGTTATGTGTCAGGCATTTTCTAGAGGCTTTACGTGAATAAATTAATTTGATCTTCACAAAAGCCATAGGAGGGGGCCATTATGATCCCCTTATGGGTGAGGAAACTGAAGCACAGAGAGGTTAAGTAACTCAACCAAGAGCACACAGCTACTAACCAAAAGTCCTGGCTTTGGAAGCCAGGAAGCTCTGCTCTTAGCAGGAGCTGGGATGCAAGCCAGGGTCTGCCCCACTGCCCATAGCCTCTCCGCTGGTGACACTGTGCACTTCCCCCCAGTGACTTACCTGTCGGCTGTGTCCTGGGCTGGATATGCTTGAAGGACTGGACTGTGACAAAGGTAGGCTGCTATTTTTCCCAACCTGAAAGACACCAGTGAAGCCCTACTCAGATACGCTAGCCTGTGAAAGACTCCCGGGACCCGATGCTGCCTGCGGTACAACAGCACCATCCCTCCCTCTGAGCCGTGCGCTGCTCCGAGTTTCCATCTCAGATGTTAGAGGAGACGAAAATGCCTCAGAGGGCATTGGTGACACCCCTCCCATCCCAAAGAGAAAGCGGAACGGAGGGAAACTCTCCCCAGATGTAGACTGTAAGTTTCAGGGGGTGAGGATAAAGGCATCTGGCGAGAGGCCTGGATCCTCCTGGGGGGCATTTAACCCTGCAGAGGCGCAGCTTTTCCACCCCTGACCTCCCAGAGCAGTCCCAGTCCCATCTCGTTTCCGGCCCAGATTCCCTGGGACTAGCTCAGGATAAAAGCCTGCATCTTTTTCTGGGTCAGTTTTCTTGGCCAGGAGACACAGACACCTTGCCGTTCTCCAGAAAACTAGGCAAAGGGCACTGGGGGCCGGTGGGTGTGGCCGTCAGGCTCCTCCCCTTCCTCTGTGACCATCCTGGGCACCTGGTGGGCTGGGTCCTCAGGTGAGTACCCTCTGGCAGGCAGCTCCTCCTTGCGCCTCTAAAGAGCCTCGTCCTCTATGTTAACTCACCTTTGCGTAAAGACGTTTGCCGTACATTGAAAGTCTTGTGTTTGGTTCAATGTAATGTCTCTGAGGTGAATTCTGGTCTTGCACTTCCCAGATACAATTTAATAGAGCCTCATTTGGTTCTCAAAGCCCATGTTTACCTTGAATTCCTCAACCTATGTTATGCTTCTCCCAGTCTCCTAACGGGATCAACACAGATTGCCAAGGCCGTTCCCCAGCACTTGGAAATCACCAGTGGTGACCCTGGACAAAGCCTTTTCTTTTTAAAATTTTTTTTAGCATTTATTTATTTTTGAGAGACAGAGAGAGGCAGAGCATGAGCAGGGGAGGAGCAGAGAGAGAGGGAGACACAGAATCCGAAGCAGGCTCCAGGCTCTGAGCTGTCAGCACAGAGCCTGATGCAGGGCTTGAACTCACAAATGGTGAGATGATGACCTGAGCTGAAGTCAGATGCTTAGCCGACTGAGCCACCCAGGTGCCCCTGGACAAAGCCTTTTCTTAATGGCCTGGTGACAAGCACCCAGGCAAGTGTCTCTTGCATTATAGAACCCATGCTGGCCAGACCAAGGCAGCTGTTTAAGTGATTTGCTTTTTTCATTTCCCCCCTTTGATAAATACCCTGCTGGAGCCTTGTCTCCTCCTTTCAGGACTAATTCATTGTGTTTACTAAACATTTCATCGGGTCCTGCTGACCCAAGAACAAACAGGGCAACATTAACACAGAGGCACGGAGGTGAAGAGCCTGGACTCCAGAGTCAAATTGCCTGGGTTTAAGTCTCAGCCTTACTATTTCTTTGCTGTGTGACTTTGGGTGCATTTTGTAACCTTCCTGGGCCTCGGTTTACTCATTTGTAAAATGGTGGGTAATATCAGCTAATGATGAAATGAATTGATATATCTGACTCGGAACAGAGCCCATTCCAGAAGTAAGTGTTAGTGGCTAGAACTTTATATAAAATGGGTGACACTAGGTAGGGGCACTTGGGTGGCTCAGTTGGTTAAACATCCAAGTTTTGATTTTGGCTCAGGTCATGATCTCACAGTTCCTGGGTTTGAGTCCCACACCAGTGCTACGCTGACAGCGCGGAGCCTGCTTGGGATTGTCTCTCCCTCTTTCTCTCTTTCAAAATAAATAAATAAGTAAAAGCTTTAAAAATAAAATAAAATGGGTGACACTATAGCCTTGTTGCCCAGGGTGTGGGCAGTCCCTGTAAGCCAGAGACTGGTACCCCAGAGTCTGCAAGTTAATAAGACCCCCAGGGGATTCCTGTGCAAGTTCAAGTTTAAGAAGCCCTGGTTCTGCCTTTCATGCTGAGGCCTGGAGGAGGCCCCCACCCAGCAGCTTAGTCTCAGGGAGGGCCCTGTGGGCACCAGCCCCTTTCCCCTGCACCTCTGGAAGTGGGGGGATCAGATTGTGGCGTGTCTGCTGCAGCTGCAGCCGTGCGTGAGTGCCCTGGGGGACCTACGTCTCCCCCTGTCTCACCTTGGCCTCAGTTTGTAGCCTGTCTGGCCCTTGAAATTCAAATGTGCTGTTTCTCATGTGTTTGCCTGTGATGTGTGAATCCCCCTCAAGATGTTCTCTTTGTGAGGTTTTAACATGTCTCATATAAAGAGGACATAAAAATTAAAACATCTGTTTAACTGCCTCTCATTCCTCCATAGTCCTCATCCCTAGACAGGGCTGGGCTTAGGGTCTGGCCCACTTCATTCTAAATATGGGCGGCTGTAGCGCCGTCTCTCCTGCTGCCCTGGAGGGGCTCAGGCTGTGGCCACCTTCACCCTCTCCTAGGTGCTCCTAGAAGAGTCTGGAGGGGGTGGGGCCTTTCCTAAGTAGCTCCCCCACCTGAGGGGAGAGCTCAGATTTGAGGACGGCTGGTCTTGGGCTCTTCATGGACCATGCCCCATATTCCCGGACTTCCTCACGATACACCCTCCTATCTGCAAGTGGCACCGGACACTTCTGTGCCTGTAAGTGTGCGAGGCAGTTTTACTGTAGGAGGGGGTGGGGCCGAGGCTGCCTGGAAGAGTGGGGACAGTCGTTCACCTGGGAGGTACCATAGCCCAGGTGGCCCCCGTCATCACTGGAACTGCCTGGGCCTCTGGCTCATACTGAGGGATTCCCATAGACCAGATGTAATGAAGCTGTCCTCAGAACTCAAGATACAAGAGAGACAGAAGTGGAGGGGGAACTCAGACTCGCTCTGTGCCTCAGCTTCCTCATCTGTAAAGTGGTGCTAACAATTGTACCAACTGCTCTGGTTCATCAGGTTTAAAGTAAGTGGTATTTAGGTGAACCTGGGTGGCTCAGTCAGTTAAAGTGTCCAACTTTGGCTCAGGTCATGATCTCGTAGTTTGTGGGTTCGAGCCCTATGTTGGCTTTGTACTGACGGCTCAGAGCCTGGAGCCTGCTTCGGATTCTGTGTCTCTCCGTTTCTACCCCTCCCATGCTCATGCTCTGTCTGTCTCTCAATAATAAATTAACATTAAAAAATTTTTTAAAAAGTCAATGGTACTTGCACAGCGCTTAGAACAGCTTACTTAGCACACAGCAACACAGTATCCGTTAACTACTAGGTTCTCAGGATAGAGGCGGCTCTGTTACCTGGCTGAGCTAGCTGGCCACGCAGGGGTGCTGCCCAGTTCCCTCTGGCCCCCAGAGCCCCTGAAGGCAGCACCAGGAGGCCCCTGGAAGCACGGGTCCCTTACCTGCCGAGAGGAGGTGCTGTTAACAGGATCGGGCACCGGTGCAAGAAGGCTGGGCGGGTTCTTTTTGTGAACGCTATTCATACCAGGCATTTTAGTGATTTTACAGGCTTTGCTACTAGAGCTCGAGTTCTTACGCTTTTTTCCTTCTGATTTGTCAAAAGAGAGGGGCAGCGAAGACACGGCATTGTGTGAGGCCAGAGAGAGGTCCCCTGCAAGGGAGGGCACAGAGAGGGGACAGGAGTCACTGCTGCCGCCCACCGAGCCCACGTGTCTCACTATGTCCGCGGGGCCACCAGGCAGCGAGGTCCGTCCTGAGGCCTCCAGTTTGGCACTGAGGGGGCTCACCCCATTGTTTGAGTTGTGCACAGACAGACTGTTATAGGGAGGGGCCGCCTGATAGGAGTTCAAAGCTGAACTGGCATTCAAAACACAGTTCTTTTTGTGGGGCCCTGATAATGGAGACGAGAGGGATGTCTGCAAGGATAATGAGGAGGAGGAGGAGGAAGTCGAAGGCTGCGGCTTCCTCTTTTTGTTACTTGGAGACTCGTCGCTACGGGCGGACAGGTCTTTGACTTTTGAGGATTTGCTGGTTTTGGTTTTGGATGGCTTGTGGGATGGGGAAGGGATGGCGGCTGGTATCGGGGACACGGCGGATGGGGCCTTGAAGGTTGAGTCCATGATGCTGAGGGTTGCAGCCACATGGGGGAAAGCTGTGGTGTGTGACATGAGGGCGCTCGGGTCCGGCGACGCCACAAAAGCTGCGTTTGAGAGCATGGCTGATGTCATTATGTAAGAAGAGGTGAGTCTCGAGCTGATGGGGGCTGAAGGAAGATACACAGCACTGGGGTTGCTGAAAGGCTGTAAAACGGATGCTGGAACAGGGGTGGAGATGTGGGCTGCTGGCGAGGGCATGGGGCTATCTGCCGCAGGAGGGATCTTCCTAAACATGAGAGAAGAGTGAGAGAGAAACCGTGAGAAACAGGCTTGGCACAGCTCCAGAGGCTCGAGTAAGCGTGAGCGTCAGGGCTACACAGGAACCCCAGTAGAACCAGACTATGGAGGATGAAGCCTTGGAGGATGGCGGACTCTGAATTATGGCCCTTCCCTGTGGCTCCCCCATTGCAACATCCAGCAGCCTATACTGAATCACTTCCAGGTTTTCAGATCCTTGTCTCCGTGCTTGGCTACTGGATAATGGCTGATTTGGCTTCATGAATAAAGGCGAATGTTATTTAGAATAGAAATTTCCCCAACAGTGTTCTCTCTCTCTTTTTTTTCCTCCCCTGGCAGTGATGAAGGTGGTTTTTAATGAGCAGTACTCATTTCACAGTTAGTTCCTAGTTTGAAGTAAGATGTGTGAGGACAGGGCTTTGCCGCCGGCACCCCCCAGAGTCACCCCTACACGCTGCCACTCAGGGCTCCCCCCTGCTCCCAGGCCAGGTTCTCCGGCCCCTGCTGCCTGCAGCCTCTGGTTTACTCTGCAGAGAGGTATGTCCCCATGAGCTTGGGGCTGCCGCCGCCGATGTGTTCCTCCTCACCTCACCCAGCCTCGGCTCTCCCTCGGGGGAGCTACAGTGGGGGTGTGGCTGCCCTTCCACAGGCCTCCCTGTCTCTGTGTCAGGGTGAGGTGAGAAGACAGGGACCCACATGCATCCAGACAAGGGGATCGGGAGTTTCCAGTTTGTTCTGAAGACAGATGCAGGATGTGGGCATGGGAGAACACACGGTCGGGGGGAGGGGGTGTCTTCCAGGAGGTTGGGGGTCCCTGGGAGCAAACTTCCTGCCTCCTGTCGTCCGTGGAACCAAGGCCAGTACCCAGTGGCGGGTCACTCTTGGAGCCAGCCTGTAAACTCTGTCTTTTGACCGCCATGTCCAAACCATGGCCTGGGTCAATAGTGTTGCTACTCTGGGAACGAGGAGGAGCACAGAGACTTTGGGGCGGGGGGGGTCACCGTTCCTTTTTTTTTTCTTGCAGGAAGGGATACTGACCTCAGGAGCCAGGTGAATTTTCAAACGGGCTCTTTCCTAGCTCTCTCCTTGCTCCCCTGCCCCTTTTGCCTTGGAAATCATTTTCAGTGTAGCTGAGCCACCCCCTTTCCCCAAGCAGCTAGGAACTAGTTCTCTTTCTTTGAAAGCTGTACTTGATGGTGGGCAGGCTTGGGACTTGCACCCCCAGAGCTTCAAGCAAGACGTGAGATGGGGCCTCTTGAAAGCCCTTCTCTCCTTGGAAGCCTCCCTCTTGGCTGTGGCACCAGGATGGGGCCCCAGTGTGAAGGAAGCGCCTCTCCTAGCGCTGCCCTGAAGATTCGGTGTCCTGCCTGCACTTTGGTGGGGCCTAGGGCTTCCATCCTTAGGGTAGAATCCAGAGGGATCCTTGAATACAGAAGCACAGTGTCCTTGAAAGCATCAGCTCAAACACATCAAATATAAGAGAAAAATGTTGCCAAATCCAGTGTGGCCACGATGGTATTCGAAAATCTACTTTTCCTTAGGCCTAAAGAATGTAAAAGACCCTGTCTGCATTCAACCAGTGCTCTGTTAGTTCTTGTTGCAATGGACAAATGAGTGAATGGATGGATGGATGGATGGGTGGGTGGGCAGATGGGTGAGCAGGTGAATTCTCAGCAGCAACATAACTAGGCATGCTGGGCAAGGACTCCCATGATACCAGACCGGAAAGGTCTAGACACGCCCTTAAAACTGTCTGGCACTGCACAACCCCTTCCTGACGCGTTAGGGACGATTCCTTGGAACGTGTAGCATCAGCACAGTCTCCCTGCTGTCTTGGCTGCCTGGCTCTGGAGCCACGGGCAATCCACTCCATCTTTCCCTGACTCAAGTTTCCAGCTAAAATACGGATAGACATACACTGGGTAGAGGTTTGCAGTTACTTGTAATTAATGTTATTTTACGAATACCAGATGGCTCATTTAGAGAGCACCCCAATCAACGCCCTTCAGTGGGATCGACTCTGAAAGTCCCAGTTTGTGACTTTCCAATTCAATAGTATAAATTTGTGCTTCAACCTGTGCCGACGAGCAGGGCTGAAGTCCCCAGTCTTATCGGGCTGGAACTCAGGATTGGGATGGATGCTACTTTTTAGCCTACTTTCTATCCCTTTCCTTCTTCTCTCCACTAATTGTAAGTGGATAGCAGAGAAGTGGAGGGGAAAGAGGGCAGGGGAGAAGCAGGGCGAGGGGCATGTGGCGATTCACTGTCTGGGGGAGCCCCTCCCCCCCATGCTAAACTGTTTACTCGTTTTTCTAGGTAACAAAAGGCAGCGAATTTCAGCTTTGCGGACTGTGCCCTGGTTTAAACTTTGCACGCTGGCCTAGGGGAGTCCCGTACAAGAGCCCACAGACGCGAATAAATTACTGACAGTGCCCGTCCTCCCCTGCCAGCTGGCACGGAGATCCAGATGCTGACCTGGCTGAAAGAGAATACTGTGTTGGCGTCTCCTGATGCAGAGTTAAATGCTTGTTAAAGAAAAAAGAGTCTTGGCCGTTCCTTTTCTTCCTAATGTCTTCCACGCCCCCATCGGCTGCCATCCCTCCAGGTTCGGGCCCGTCGGGGCCTGGGGTTTGGGCAGCGAGGCTGAGAGGGCAGCGGGGTGCTACGCTCTCCAGAGTTGACACCCAGGCAGCCCCAATGTTGCTCAGTGACAGCAGATTGGTTAGGCAAGTCCTGAAAAGGGGGGAGGGACCTGATGCCCTGGGGCTCGGGTTTCTGTGCCTGAGGAGGAAAGGAATATGGAGCTTGAGCTGACAGGACACCAGGTAGCGAAATACAGATCAACACATTCCTTGCATGTGTCCGGGATTTACGCTTCCACGACACAGGAGTGCAAAGAGCTGCCAGCATTACCGGGGCAGGCTGCCATCTTGGGGGGACAAGCATGGAAAGGTAGACAACCAAACAGCCGCGAACACGGTAACCCCGCATGCAGCGCCCATTTGTTGGTGTTTGCAATGGACACGGGCAGACACCCAGGGTGCCTTTCGGACACACTGGGTGGTCGCTTCGGTGGGAAGAAATGATAAGCTTCTCTTGTGGCCCTTTCCTGCTTTGTGGTAAGGGTCAACATTTAGTCCACTAGGCCCATTAACGGCACACACCGTGGGGCTTGCTTCTGCTACATGTTGGGGTCCTGAAGCTCTTTGGGGGTCGTGGGGAACAGGGGCTGCCAGGGGGAGAGGAGGGAAGCTGGGGGAGGGGCAAGCTCCGAGTTCTGTTTCTGTGTCTACCCCCACAGCACCCTCCCATGTCTCAGGAGAGCCTTCCTGCCCTTCCTGAGCTTCCATGGGCAGGGTGAGGGTTCAGCGTTGGCTTTTTCTGGGCCTAGACCTGAGGGATCCATGACTCTAGACCTGAGGGATCTATGAAGTCTTACGAGCTCACCTTGGTAGGAGTGGGGGCGGGGGCTGCCAGCGGGCTGGCCGTGTGTTACCGAGTGGCTGGCACGGGAGTTCCTTACGTGCTGTGCTTGGGAGAGGGTTTAGCGTGTCATTCTCTTACAGTGGCATTTGCCTAAGTCAGGAAGTGTTCTTCCCTTTTTTATGAATCTCCTATTGGGAGGTTTTGGAGAACAAAGGGGGCTCAGAGAAATGGAATAGAAGCTGGGGTTTAAGGTGGAGAGAAACACAGGGAGAGGCCAGGAGAGAGATCTAGCAAGGTGGGAAGGGCCAAAGACAAGCTTAACCTACTTCGAACATCACCCGGGATCTGCCATGTTGGCCACTGTACATATTTTTTCACAGGACATTAAACATTTATAAATTGGTCCATAGCCATAGTGAAGTTTTTAGCATTGACATTGTAGCATTAACATTACAAACAGAGACATATTCTTAGTATCCTTAAATGTTCTTAGTCATAGCAAAAAGGCCCTTTAACACTCTTGCATACATGAGATCTTATCTACTACCCTTTTCACCTAGTTTAGAAGATTATCGACACAAAAATGATCTCCAAAGAAGACAAGGCATACCATACATCCTACTTGTCTCTGAGAAACCAGGGGGCAAGCTGTTAAGAAGAGCTGACATTTACGAATTAATTGGGGATCCTGTTCTCAGAATAAGTTTGTTCTACGAAAAGCCAGCTACCAACATTGATCTAGAAAGCTGGGGTTCAGACCGTCGTGGGGCAGCTCTGAGCACATACAGCACGAAAACTGCGCACTTACTTCCACATCTGGGAATTCAAGTGTTTTTCTACCATGGAGTTTAGTGCGAATCGAAAACGATCCCATCTTCTATCAAACACATAGTACCCTCGTCCCATGAGGCGACTCCCGAATGAGCAAAACTGTGAGGGGGAAAAAAACACATTTAAATTTTGATTACAGGTTAATAAGCTAATACAGACCCTGCAGAGAAAAATAACGTTTGCACAAAAACACACAGGGGTACAATTTTACTCAAAATAAAGAAGCAAATAGTACCGAAGCCAAAAATATCTCTGCGGTGCTTTCATTTGTGTTTTAGATTTTCTGCAGAACTTCACGTTATGACTCAACAATAGTGACATTCAGTTTTCTGTGGCACGGAGGGCTACCTTGTCTACACCTAGACTGAGCCAGCATTTTAGGGTAAAAACAACAAAAAAAACCACCCCAAAACAGTAACAAACCAGATCAAACCAAGAACAACCAGCAGTCAGGATGATTTACAGCACCGACCGCATACGGTGTCATCCATCTTCTCCAGGGACTCGGCGGTTCTGCGCTTCTCATCACGGTCACGGAAACTGCTTGTTCTGATGCAGTCTGCCCACTGGTTGGAGTTTTCCTATCTGTTGTCAACAGAGCCACTTCCCTTCCAACTGGGCTAAATTCCTTCCTTCCCTGGTCCTGACCTCACGTCCGCCCCTTGGCACTTCTAGGCTGCACGGCAATGTCACTGCCACCAAGCTTCCATTCGTACTGTTCCCTCTGCTTGCCATCCCCTTCCCTCTTCTCTTGAAGTTTCAATTCTCCCCTCTCCCAGTGCCCTAATCGAGACTCTTGTTCCCAATGGTCATTATCTGACCAACCTCGCCCCTTTGAGCTTCCACACCTGTTACATATTTTATTACCTTTCATCTCGGAATCAGTACATGGATGTTTTGTGTTCTTTAAAAGTTTTTAAATGTTTATTTATTTTTGAGAGAGAGAGAGAGAGAGAAACAGAGCACGAGCAGGGGAGGGGCAGAGAGAAAATGAGACACAGAATGTGAAGCAGGCTCCAGGTTCTGAGCTGTCAGCACAGAGCCTGATGTGGGCTTGAACTCATGAGCTGTGAGATAATGGCCTGAGCTGAAGTCGGACACTTAACCAACGGAGTCACCCAGGTGCCCTGGCTGGGTATATGTTCTGTATAAATAAAGCCTATGCACCTGGCTTGATGATCAAGGCATCAAGACTCAAAACCTCATTCTCTTCTTCCTCCTCAGTATGAGGATGGTAGGGAAGGGATTTGGGCTAAAGAATGGATTCGAGACATAAGGTCCCACACGATGTTTAAAGCAAATCATCACATTTAAAGCACATGGCTGAAATATGAACGGTAAAGATGTTTAATGAACATCACTGGATTATGATGTCAGGGCAGCCAGAAGGCCGGTAGACAGAAATGCAAGAAGCGGCCTCTGAGAAGGTGACATTTGGCGGGTCTAGAGCTCAGGCGAGTCTGCATAAGACTCTGTAACTCAAATGCAGCCTCTTCCCCCAGACCTCCCAGCAGCTCCCTGGCCTCCATCCCAGACACAGTGCTGGGTTTGGATTCATTCCACAAACCCTTCCTGGAACCAGCCTTTGGAACGGTTCTTAGGAGGAAATGCAAGACCTTCCCTTTGTTTTGTCTCTGCTTACGTTTTGGGGGTTTTGCATTAGAATTTTGCCACCCATCAAATCTGGTACTCCTGATGAAAAACTCTTTTCTGCACTTTATCAAGCAGTTACCAACCGTGCAAGAAAATACACAAAGGGGAGTCTCCAACGGGGAAGCTGGTCCCTAGCAGCATGTGGGAGCTGTTCCAGGTCTAGGCATCTTTTCTTCCTTCATCCCAGTTGCTACAGACACCCTGAATGACTGTTTCGTTACAAAAAAAAATGATATAATATATCAATTGACCATGAAACAAAGGATAAAGCATTGTCCTTTCCATTTACATCAGCAAAACATTAAGGGCGCACAAATCCACCATGCCCAGAGTTGAGCTAATCCACTGTAACCTGGCAGCTTGTCATTTGGACAAATATCCTGTGCTCTGGAGTCTGGCCTTCTGGTAGAGCCCAGTCTCTTTTTTAGACTTGGAAGCCGGAGGCCCACTATGTCTCTCCTTCAATACGGATGCAAGGTTACACGCCCCGGTAGGCTCCTGTCCTCGGCTGCACACTGTGCCCTCCGTGGATAGGTCTTCACTGGGCTGGTCACCGTGCCAGATTCCACGGGCAGCCAGTCTCATCGAATGCCATCCTACCCCAGCTTCTCCCTCCTTTTCCTTTTGAATGGAGCCACACAGAGAATGGGGAGCAGGGAAAGGGGGGTCTCTTCCCACAACCTTGAGATGAATCACGGCTATGTTCATCCCGTGTCACAGCAACCCCATCCTGCTGTGTCACTCATTGGTGTAGGGGTGGGCATGTGACCCATTTCTGCTAGATGTGCGTGGAAGCCTCCTGGGGAGCTACTTGGAAGATTTTCTTCCCCAAGAAATGACATAAGCTGGCATCTTAGGCAAAGACGCCCTTTCCATGTGTCCCTTTCCAGACTTTGGAGAGCGCTACTGGGTGAGGATGTGAACCGGGACTGTTTCAGACATAGTGAGATCATGTATGACAGGCGAAAAGGGCTGTAGGGATTCTCTCTCAGAAACATCGTATTGTAGGGGCGCCTGGGTGGCTCGGTCAGTTAAGCATCTACTTCGGCTCAGGTCATGATCTCACAGTTCGTAATTTCAAGCCCCTCACCCAGCTTTCTGCTGTCAGCACAGAGCCCACTTCAGATCCTCTGTCTCCGCCCCCCCTTCACCAAAATAAATTAAAAAAGAAAGAAAGAAACACCATATTGCAGAGATGCTGAGCCAAGCTTGGAATTGCCTACCTCTGGGCTTCCTGTTAGGTGAGATGAATAAATGGCCACAGTGTATGGACACTGTATGAGTTCAATTTTCATTCCTGGCAGTCAAAGGCATTCCTCATTGTCCCTATTTCTGTACTGGCGAAGTAGCAAGTCTTAGGATGCTTGTGAACCTCAGGTCAACATCATCCCCAGAAATAGGAAGTGAATTTGGCCTTTATTCATCACACAGATAGAAGGGAGGAGGAGCTCACTCTATCTTGATGCAGGATTGATTTTTTTTTTTTTTTTTAAAAGATCTTCTTTATTTAAGTGACCTGTTCATCCTGCACGGGGCTCGAGCTCACAATCCTGAGGTGAAGAGTCCCACATCCCACCGACTGAGCCAACCAGGTGCCCTGATTCAGGATTGATTTTATCTACACAGCCCACGACATCGAGGGATAGTCAAAGCTAACCGTGCAGGGCTCAGGCTGAGAGCAGGGCAACCCGGCCATGGGGTCCCACGTTCAGGGCCCCCTGAATTTAGCTCTGTGATAGAAACACCAGACAGTCCCTTCTTAAGTGTTTGTAGAGCAAACAGAAACAAGCCTTCAGCTCATGCCTCCTTATATTTCCCACCTTGATTTCAATGCCCTTCTGAACTGTCAAAAGTGGACTCTTTCAAGGAACTGGGAAGGAATGTACCTTTCTGTTCATCGCCAATCATGCTGACGTGAAATGCTTCCTCTCCTCCTCTCCTCTCCTCTCCTCTCCTCTCCTCTCCTCTCCTCTCCTCTCCTCTCCTCTCCTCTCCTCCACACTCTCTCTCTCTCAGTTCTGGTGCCATATGGTCACGCTTACTAATAACAATAAAACTCCAAATCAACAGGGGAGAAAGGCAGCAAGCCTGACACCTGGCACACTGCTAAGACAGACGGTTCCCAAAGCAGGTGAGGCAGACGAACTCTTGAAAACCAGAGGCTCCCTTTTCCGATGGGCAGAGCCACAAGGTCAGCTCCCCAGTGCGCTTGTATAAACACTATTTCTCAAGCATCCTTGGCCCACAGATACTCGGGTGTTTAAAGGATTATAACCAGTAGGGAGCCATGCCCTTTCCTTCTGTGATTTTCAAGGGTGTTTCGAAGGCAATCACTCAACGTCAGGGTGTACCTTTCCATAAAGCACTGTGCTGGCAGCCTCTCCTTGGGAGCGCGTGCTGTCTGACATGATGACCTAAACGCCCGCAGAGCACTGAGGGGGAGTGGGGGTGGGGGGGAATGCATGGACGGAAACAAGGTGGCCTACCGCAAGAGGTCTGGGGTGGTGGGTAGAGAAATGACAGTCTAACTTCTCGGGTTCGTCGGCTCCATCCATCTCCCCTTCATCACTTGACAGCCGGCTGTTGAGGTCGCCTCCAGCTGGGGGTAGCGGGGGTTCCGGAGTGTAGCCACTGTGATTCGAAGATGTGTTGCTACTGATGCTATTTGCAGACGACGGTCTAAGGGCAAAGAGAAAACAGAGAGAATAATAACCTTTTCTGAGGCAGCAAGACCCACTCAGGTGAAGGGAGCTCGGAAGGAGACTCATCAGTGTTCTTGACATATCAAGGGAGGAGCGGCAATGGTGGATGGACACAAGGCAAAAATTCAGGCTGAGATTGGGGTTAGCACCAACCAGTTCTCTAAAATGATCCCGTGGAGCTTAGGTTCTCCCCAGCTTTAGCTCAGGCACCAGGGAACACTCCTGTATCATAAGCGGAATATGAAATACAGTACTGTAACAGAATTAACTTAAAACCTGTCTTCTAATGAATGCAGTTACAATTACTCATCTCTTTGCACTTAAGTAATTTGCACTTGCCAGATAGTTGCTTCTCTCTGGAAGTAGAGCCTGACAGGAAGTTCAACAAAGTAACTTCGAACCAATTAACAGAATACTAGCGATGATGGACGACAGCCCTATACTTGTTGTTTACTAAATTATAGCTTCGTGCAACTGCTACCATACTGGCATGAAAAAAAGGTTTTGTCCCAGTGATGGGGCACAAGTCTCTTACTCCACAGGCAGATATTTTTTTCTTTTTCTTTCTCTCTCTCTCTCTTTTTTTTTTTTTGGTAAGTAAGCTCTATATCCAACATGGGGCTTGAACTTAACGACCCCGAGATCAAGAGTCTCATGCTCTACTGACTATGCCCCAGGTGCCCCCAGATCTATTTCTTAATATCAAGCCACATGTAGTTTAATTGTATCTTCTGAGGATGGATGTTTCCATTTAATTTTTGAGAAGTGCTAGAACCACAGGCTGGCATGGCTGGGTTCTAGTAGGTGCTGAAGACAGGTTTCCCGATGAAGGAATGAATGAGTTCCTCGTGTATGAACAGACCCCAGCAGATCTCATCTCGATGATGGCTAAGATTGCAGAAAAGCAATGTTATAGTAAGAAGCACTACATGTGACACAAGCAGCAAAAAACAAAGCAAAACCAAAACCAAAACCAAAACCAAAACCAACACATCCATGTTGGTAAAAGACTTAGAAGAGGAATAGTCAAAATTAGCTATCACCTGTGTTTTCTTGCTTCTTCACTTTCATCGGGTGATTGTCCAGGGAGAAGTAAAGGGAGAAAAATAAGTTTTGGAGAAAAAAAAATGAGTTTTCTGTATTCTGCTTTGAAAGCGGCCCCTCCAAGCAGTGTGAAGCAGCACTGATTTTGATTTTCTCCCTACTCCCTCATTCTCCCTCAAAATCATTTGTTGCTTTGAAATCTTTCCAGCTGCCAAATGCCTGAGTTCAAACCAGATCCTCAAAGCACAGTCATTTAACTTAATTTAATTGTTTATTAATATTCATTTATTTTTTGAGAGAACATAAGTGTGGGAGGGGCAGAGAGAGGGAGATAGAGGATTCGAAGTGGGTTCTGTGATGACAGCTGTGAGCCTGATGTGGGGCTTGAACTCACCAAGTGTGAGATCATGACCTGAGCTGGAATCGGATGCTCAATGGACTGAGCAACCCAGGCACCCCAAACACAGTCATTTTAAAGCAAAGCCACAGAGATCCCAAATGTCCATCGATAGATGAACGGATAAAACATAACATGGTATATCCATATAAGGGAATATTAAATCTTAAAAGGGAAGGAAATTCTGTCATCTGCTACAACATGGATGAATATTGAAGACATTATGCTAAGTGAAATAAGACAGTCACAAAGAGCAAATTTGTATGATTCCACTTATATGAGGCACCTAGAAGAGTCAAGTTCATAGAGACAGAAGGGAAGACAATGGTTACAGGTGATGGGGGATGGGGAATGGGGAGTTAGTGTTTAATGGGTACAGAGTTTCAAAATGAGATGATATTAAGTTCTGGCGAGGGATGGTGGTGATGGTAGCACCACAATGTGCATGTACTTATGTCACTAAACTGTACATGTAGAAATGGTCAAAATGGTAAATTTTACATTATGTGTATTTTACCACAGTAAAAAGCCCATAAGAAACCAAACCCAAGGCCCCAGGTAGTTTTTTACTATCACTACAAGAACTCTGTTGCTGTCACACTTTTTTCCTGACTATCACCTTCTCATAGTTATGAAAACCAAGATGGCGTTCATGCTGCAGATTCAAGGTGTATAGTCTGGAGAACGCATCTCTGCAGGTGCATTCCCAAATACCTACTCTCCTGTATCATAAGGGGCGACGTTATTGCCTATTTATGGCTGAAGACACACACAGTAAAACAATTTTGGTAATGCTGAAACATATAAAGAAAGAAAACAGCATCCATAATCCTGCCACTCAAGATCAAGTGCTATTACCATTTTGATTTATATCCTTCCAGATTTCTCTACTGTGCATACATGGGGACATGCATTTTTAAAGCAAGAACTGGATCACACTGTATATACTATTTTGAGACATGGTTTTGTTTTTTTTTTAGCCTAGTGATGTTGTAGAAATCATTCCCTGTGTAGAACTAGATCATCATTTTTAATATTCCCAATATATTCCTTAGTATGGATATAGCATAATATACTTAATTATTACTGAACTATGTTGATTGATGGATGTTTACGTTGTTTCCACAATTTCTAGCAGCCTCTTTTTGAGGCCTTCCCTGCTGTGATAGGAACTCCGTGTCCTACAGGAGATAAAAGTGAGTTGGATTTTGTTAAGTGTGATTAATCGTATCACAGTGATAGAGGAAAATATCTTTATTTTTTATTTTTTCTTATTACTTAGAGAGAGAGAGAGAGAGAGAGAGAGAGAGAGAGAGAATCCTAAGCAGGCTCCGTACTGCCAGCAAGAAGCCTGATGTGGGGCTTGAATTCATGAATGGTGAGATCACGACCTGAGCCGAAATCAAGAGTCCACTTAATCCCTACACCAATAATAGGAATTTCATTCACCTCGCTAATGATTGATTTGGAAAAGGGTGTGAGAAATACATAATTTTTTTTTCTGGGGAGCAGTTGCACATTTTCCTCATTTTTAAAAAGAGACACGAGGAAGAAGTAGTCTCTACTTTCATCTGGATGCACCTAGAAGTGCCACGGTCATGTTGCTATAAACTTTGAACACGAAGCCCAAAGACTGAAGAACGTGGAAGAAATAAAAGGAAGGCAGGGAATGTGAGCCGATTCTGCATCTTTGGAGACTGGTGCCCTTTTGCCTCTGGACTTCTTGTCACATGTGATAAGAATTTTTTTTTTTAATTTTTATTTTTAGAGAGAGAGAGAGTGTGAGCAAGCAAGCATGAGCGGGAGAGAAGGGCGGAGGGAAAGAAAGAGACCATTCCCAAGCAGTCTCCCGGATAAGTGCTCAGCACAGAGCCTGACTTGGGGTTCGATCCCAGGACCCTGGGATCATGAACTGAGCTGAAATCAAGAGTGGGATGCTCGATTTACTGAGCCACCCAGGTGCCCCCCGCATGTGATAAGAAAATGTTGAATTATTTTAAGCGGTCCAGAAGACTAGGTTTCCTGCTCCTTGCACTTGAAGCATCCCAACAGAAATAGTGCGAACATGAGATTTTAACATACTTTTAGACAGAATGTGTCTGGAGAAGTGTTAACTGAGGGCGAGGAGCTGACCTACCACAGAACCTGGGGCTACCTACGGCTGCAAAAGTCATGGGTGAGGTGGGGGCTAAGCCTAGCAGGAAAGCTGAAGGTCTTCCCATGTGGTAGCTGGGCCTACAGGTCAACACCATGACCGCACATGGCCAGATGACTCACCAACGCCCCTGCCAGGTCACACCCCCTCCAACCAACTCTCCAACAAGAGAACAAAGGTTTACTCTCCAGAGAAGCTGAACTGGAGAGACCTTAGACAAGGGGCTGCCAGGCTGAGTAGAGATCAGGAGAGAATGACAGGGCTGGAAACAAGGTGACTGTTGGCCAACTCTAGTTAGATCATTAGTGGGCACTTCCAGAATGCCTATCACCAGGGAGGATTCATTCCCTGAGAAACTGAATGGCCCCGGAGGAAAGGCTTCCAGATCTTGCCTTTGGGAATCCTCCAAAAAAGGCTGGTTGGTGACCTGATGAGCTTTTGTTGACAGTCCCACAGAAAGACTTCTAATCAGCCTGTTGGTGCTTCTCTTTTAAATGTGAGGGGCGCCTGGGTGGTTCAGGTAAGATCTCAGCGTTCGTGGATTCGAGACCCATGTCTGTTTCAGATTCTCCTTCTCTCTCTCTGCCTCTCCACGGCTTGTGTGCTCTCTCTCTCAAGAATAAATAAATGTTAAAAAAATTGAATGCGCATGCTTAGGGATCACCAAACATTCCTGGAACATCTCCATCATGAGACCAACTAGCCAAACATCAAATGCAGGAACACACACTCAAGAAAGAAATGGAGATAGTGAAGGAAAGAGGAAACAACTAAAAAAGCCCTAACTTCAAAGATATTAGAATGGTATCACCTCTGCAAAATGATAGTATCTTATATGATATCATAAGAAGCAATTGTAAGTTCTTTTTATCTAAGAACCAGATCCTAGAATTTTTAAAAAGTGAACCATAAACTGATTATTTCATATACAGTTATGAAAGTAAAATGAAAGAAAATCTTTTAGAAAGTAGAACAAGAGATTAAAAGAGATAGGGGGAAAGAGGTGAAAAAATGAATACATCAGAGCAAAAGGTCCAACATCCAGCTAATGGGAGGTCAATAAAGAGAATAAAGACAATAGTGGGGAGAAAATTAGCCACGATGTAGCAGAGGAAAATATCCCAGAAACAAGAGTTTCCAGACGAAAAGGATCTACTGAGTACCCAGAATAATGAATGAAAAAAGACCCATAAGCAGTGATATCTGAAATTTGAAAGTCTTCAGAGATTAAAAACTGATCACATGCAAAGAAATGAGAATCTGAATGATACCAAACTTCTCAAAAAAAAAAAAAACTTTGATGCTAGAAGCCAATCAAATAATGCTTTCATAATTCTGTAGGGAAATGATTTTCTATTTTTTTTAAATGTTTGTTTATTTT